GTGCAACTAGCAACTCGTCGAGTTCCTTAAGGGTTCAGAAGGTCATAAAACCCTCACTGACTCGCTGAGTTTACGACCAACTCATCGAGTCTATGCGTGCCAGAAGTCGAGGAAAACCCTAACTTACCCGTCGAGTCCTCTCTTGACTCGTCGAGTCCATGCATAAACCAAACAACAGGAAAACCCTTCCCAACTCGTCGAGTTCCTTATCTGGCTCGTCGAGTTCATATAGTCCATTTCTTGTCCAGATGATTTTGAGCCATTCCAAAGCTCCAAATGGTAGATCTAGTCTCCAAATGGTAGATCTAGTCTCCTAGGGCCTAACTCCAAATGATTTTGAGCAATTTACGTGCATGCAAGGTCTTGAGAGCCAAAACTAAGCTAAAGAAGAGACTTAAGGCAAAGAAAAGGCCATAGCTTGGCAAATGCTGAAACTTTATGACCATAAGGGGCTAAAGGGGTCCAGATCTGAAGTTGCAACCTCAGATCTTGCCCCAAATCCGGAAATACCACAACAATTACCTAAAAGGGTTCTAAACCCATGAATGAAGAGATCTAGCTAATGGAGAGCCAAGGTAACAACTTGTTACCTTCAATGTGATGCTAATATGGAATAGAGTTCAGATCTACACTCCTCCTTGTTCCAAGCTTCTTGAACTTCAAGTCCTTCTCACCAAGATCCACCTTCCAAGCTTAAAACACAGAAATATGGAGAGTGAATACGAATTAGGGTTTATGAGATCGAAGGGGGGCTGTAAGGGAGGCCAAGGGAGGCTAATGACCCTTTAAATAGGGTGCAATACCCTGAAAATTAGGGTTTCATCCAACAGCTCCAACTCGTCGAGTTGGTCACTTAAAACACGCGGCTGAGTTCGTTCCTGCTCGACGAGTCAGGGCATCCGACTCGTCGAGTAGACCCTTTAAAATGGAAATAAATTTGTAAAATTTATACCTAAGAGTCGGGGTGTTACATTTTTTAGGTTAACAATTTTTAGAACTTATTATTTTTGATACATAAGTTTTTACTAATTTTATTTGAAAAACTTAATTTTTACATATAATATGTGGCGGACCTTGTATGGGTCTTTGTAACACCCATAAAAATCACAAGATCATTTAAATTTTTTAAAACCATCCCAAATTCATAAATTGTTTACAAACATAGTTTTTAAAACATTTTCAAAATCAGAGTCTCCCAAAATCATAAGACTAAATACGAGGATGTGTACGGTCACGCCTTCGCCTTCTCGTGATCATCTGAAGTACCTGAAACATAACCTAAAATTGTAAGCAAACGCTTAGTGAGATCCTCCAAAGTACAAACACACAAACAAATCACATTACAATAACAAAATATCGGGTCCAATCAACCATCGGGTTAGAATACCCCAGGCCCCTCAACCATTAGGTTGGAATGCCAATACACTATGGGTCCAGTCAACCATCAGGTTGGAATACCCCAGGCCCATAATCCATCCGGTTGGAATGCCCCCGACCTGTTGGCTCATGCACAAAGCAGTAAAGCCTCAACCATCAACCAAATATGTACACATATACAGATAAACATATAATCAGTCAACAGACAACCAGACAGTTCTACAGATCATTAAACATAGCATCATACTATCACATAACAGGATATCTAATCAAATAGGTCGGCCTTGGTACCTTAGACCCATTAGTACCTTATCATCGGGATGTTACAGTCTCTAGATGTTCTGAGCCACTACTCAATTTTGTCTACAAAGAGTATTTTTTTAACATTAGTGTGCAACTACTCAAAAAAATGTGCTACTAGTATTAATCCATGAAAAAGAAATAAAGTGATACTATACGTAAACGGGTGGGGGCGGAGGGAGGGAGGGATGGAGGGGGTTAGTATAGAAACAATCAACAAATGTGCACCGATTTATAGTCAAAAGTTATAAAAAAAATAGCCCATTGCAATTTCACTTTGTTCAAAACTGGCCCATTTGTAATTTAATTACTTTGATACAGAAGGAAGAGAACGATCGAAAAATAAGAAAGAAAAATAAGTGAAGTTGTTAGTTGTCCGTTGGAATAAAAAAAACATCTCACACACCATTCATCAATTTTCGGACCGTTGTAACTGAAATTAGTCAAGCAAAACATTTTTTAGCATTAGGGATTCCTCCGATCCGAATTTGAGAGCTTTATTCAAACCTAGAATGAAACAAGTAAGTATTGAACTTATATTTGGTTTATGATTTATGAAATTAATTGTTTATTTGTTGAAATAGTTAATTGTTTTGGTGAACTTGTTAGTTGTGGTTGATGAAATTAGTAATTTTTTGCTTAATTGCTTGAAAGTTGAAATTAGTTGTGAAATTGACTTGATATGTTGACATGTTAGAATAAAATTGGGTCTTTTTGTTAGGAGACCACCAAGCTCCAATGAATTGAGTGGTGAAGGAACAACCAACAAATATGGTGCACCAATTTTTAGTTAAAAGTTATTAAAAACAAGACCAATACCATTTCACTTTGTTTAAAACTGGCCCATTTGTAATTTAATTACTTTGATGCGGAATAAAGAAGTAGAAGGAAGCAACGATCGAAATATATATATATATATATATATATATATATATATATATATATATATATATATATATATATAGGTTTAGGTTCTATAGAGAACAAAAACCCTAAAAAAAACCCTAAAAAAAAAAAAATGCATAAAAAAATACTTAGAGATCACAAAACTTTTTTTGAATTTTTTTTATAAAAATCGCAGCTTTTTCTTAAAATTCGCTGAAAAAAATTAAAAAATCAATTTTAATTTTTTTATAAAAATAATTTTCAAAATTTTTTTCAGCGAATTTGTATAGAAAGCTGCGATTTTTTATAAAAAATTCAAAAAAAAGTTTTGTGATCTCTAAGTATTTTTTTTATGCATTTTTATGATTTTTAGGGTTTTTGTTTTCCAAATAACCCTTCCCTATATATATATATATATATATATATATATATATATATATATATATATATATGAAGTTGTTAGTTGTCCATTGTTGTGTTCCACAGGAAGAAAAAAACATCCCACACACCATTCATCAATTTTCGGACCGTTGTAACTGAATTTAGTCAAGCAGAACGTAGTTTTTTAGCATTAAGGATTCCTCCGATCCAAATTTGAGAGCTTTATTCAAACCTAGAATGAAAGAGGTAAGTATTGAACTTATATTTGGTTTATGATTTATGAAATTAATTGTTTATTTGTTGAAATTGTTAATTGTTTTTGTGAACTTGTTAGTTGTTGTTGATGAAATTAGTAATTGTTTTGCTTAATTGCTTGAAAGTTGAAATTAGTTGTGAAATTGACTTGAAATTGTGACATGTCAGGATAAAATTGGGTATTTGTGTTAAGAGACCACCAAGCTCCAATGAATCGAGTGTTGAAGGATCATCCAAAAGACAATGCTTGAACTCCAATTAATCATTCCCTTCGGTTTCTAATGTAAATCAACAAAGTCCACAACTTACATATACTCCAATTAAATGTTGATTTGAAAGATCTTCCAAAAGACATTGTGGATGGACCAAACATTACAACTTATAATCCAAATCAAAGAGATGAAATAAGAATGTCATATTTGTTTCAAGGACCTTATCAACCAAGGGGTCATACATTTCTATCAAAGAAAATAGATAACTATGAACTTAGCACCGAATTACTAGAAGATATGGGGACTTTGAGTCTTTTAGTTTATTTGCTAAATTTGACAAAAGAAAGTTGTTGCAATTGAGTGAGTTGTACAAAAAAAAAGTTAATGATTCGAAGAGGATACAATTTGATGGTGAACTTGAGATATATTATCACTATTTACATAAATATGATCGGCTCACTAGTTTGAAGAAAATTTCCGACCGTTCTCGTTTGATGGTGGAAACGGGGAAACATCATTCTTATCTTATGTTTATAGGTTATTAAAATTGGTTTTGGTTTTACTCGTCGCGACTGCAACAATCGAAAGTTGTTTTTTCACGATGAAGCTTTTGAAGACATAATTACCTAACAAAATAGGTGATGTTTTTTTGAACGATGTCATGATTTGTTATGTTGAAAAAGAAACCCTTATGAAAGTGAAGATCGAAAATGTAATCAATCGCTTTCAAAAAATGTATACATGTAGATGTCAAAACTAAAACGTAAGTTCTAGAACTATTAGTTTGTTAATTTTAATGCATTCGTACTTTTAATTTTTTTTATGTTATTATATTTGATTTTTATGTTATTATATTTGATCGGAAAATAATTGATGACACTAATGTTGTAAATTCCTATATACATCTGTAATTACATATCATCTTCATTATTCAATACTACACAACATAATGTCGAGTAACAAAATTATGCACTTCAATGATAATAAAAAAAAAATTTCACATAATGCATAGTTATAAACAAGTTAGTATCACATGTGCTCGAAGTTCTATGTGAAATACATATTTAAATAGAAACTAGAAAGTATCCCCCCGCCTTGCGGGGGCCGGAAGGTGTTTGCTTTTGTATGAAAGTAAAGTACATTGCCTAAGTTGTTAGCCATAGTAAAGTAGGTTGCCATTGTAGGAGATTTGCCCATTTACAAACACGTAAATGTTATAATAAGAAAAATGTTAAAATACAGTCCACTAATTGGATAGGATTTTCACAGGACAATGTGTTAATAAGACTAAGACCGACATCCCATGCAACTATCAATTTCTCCAACGCTAAAAATTCATACGATACTGAATTCTCCACTTGTAAAATTCATTCCATGCAAAAAATGTGTAGATCTTGTCTGTTGAATCAAGAGCACATGAGCAACTGTAAACATATCAGAATACCACAAAGGAAGCCATCATCACAAGGGCAAAAAAAGTCAACACAGGAGCATCTGCGATCCGTCCAAATAGAAACAATCACAAAGAAACCTGAAACACCATGATAAAACCAAAAAATATACTCGCATGCCAATATCAGATTTTCAAAGTCAGAATTTTAATATCAGAATTTCATATGCATCATCAGATAGCTTCACTTCAGCAGTAAGCTATATAAGAAATCTGAAATCTCATAAAATTTTATCACTGTTAAATTTTTCCAACTTCAGCTATTCTGGTTATGCAAAAATTTCAATTACTTGGAAAACTTACCGGGATCGATTCCAAAACCTCCTGTATAAACAAAATTAAATGTTCCTTGGACCTGCAACATAAAAATGATACAAAACAGGTTCCCATACATTAAAAGTAAGACATGAGTACATTTTATGAGAACCATGTATGGGTTTGTTCTAAAAAGCTCCTTTAGTCACCTATCACTGAAAATTCTTTTGAAACACAAGAACTACAGGTCTTCGGAAAGCAACAGGAACTCTATGGCTTGTGCAAAACCATTAAATCCCCACTTCAATTAGATATAGTACAAAAAAATTACTCCTTTATCCATTTTTTCAACCTCTAGTCAACTAAATGTATCATTGTTAATGTACTTTACTAATGACATAAAGGATCGGAAAAAGTTATAGAGTTCCACATAATACACCCAAATTACCCTGTTTAACTAACTTGTAGGCTTTACCAGTAAAAGAACAGATCCATAGTTGTATTTCATTTAACGAAAAGTATGTAAAAGAAGGGATATACGAATGGTGAGATAAGATCAATTGGTTAGAACTTCTTACAATGAAATTGGTATCTTTTCTTGTACAGAAGTAGCATAATTTACTTTCTTTTGTCGGTATTCTGATGATATTATTATATAGACATTGGGCATCCAGTAATTCATTATCATCTTTAAGCTCTTTGAATTCAAGAAATCTAGAATTAAAGGAACCAATTTCAAGAAAAAGAAGCAACGGGAGTTTTGCTGCTATTGGCTGGTATTTAACCAATTTCAGGAAAACGAATACCAAGTGAACATTGTAGCAAAAAGTAGGCAAAAAATCAAATTGGAATGCAAATTAAACCTTTTGACGGGATCTTCTGGCATTCTTTCTGTTGGTGATCTTTGAGATTGATCCCCAATCCATTGTCTTCTACTCTCATTCCAGGAAATCAAAGCTACAAAATCAAATAATTGATTTATAAAATATATTTGAGAAAAAAGCAATGGACTTTCTGTATTAACTGAGAGGGTGTTTGGTTTAACTTTTGGGGGGCAAAAGTCCTTTTTGTAAAATGACATTTTACAAAAGTTATTTTTTAAAATGTGTTTGGATTAGCTTTTGAAGGGAAAAAGTCAAGAGTTAAAGTGTTTGGTTTAACTTTTACATGTAAAATGACTAAAAAGGACATGTTTATATATTTACATTGATTTACTACTTTACATATATTATTTTATATTAAAAAAAAAATTTAAAACACATATCATAAGTTTGTAAACATTTTATTAGAAAATATAAAATATAAAATATAAATTTCTTTTAAAATATTTCTAATTTTTTGGATTAGACCATGACATTAAAATTACTACGTTCATACAAATTGTAAATAATTCATAAGAGGACTTTTAAAATATTTCTAATTTTTTGGATTAGACCATAACAATATTAAAATTACGTTCATACAAATTCTAAATAATTCATAAAAAAATATCATAGATAATATTACATTCATCTTCGCAATGTGATTATATCTTGTGCAATAATATCCCGTATCGCTGCCATATATAAATCGCTCGTGCGACGTGTACTTGGACCTTCTTCGTAAACATCACTACCGGTATCACCTCGTACGGGATTGTAGGATTCTTGTTGTGCCCTATTAAACGCTTCATCGGACATACCAAACTTTCTAATGTAGTTATGGATCACCATCGATGCTATCACAATTCTCACTTGGTTCTTGTACTTGTAATTAACATGCATGTCTCTTAATAACTCCCACCTAGCTTTCCACACTCCAAAAGTTCATTCAATGATATTTCGCAATGATGAGTGGAGATAGTTAAATTTCTCTTTCGGTCCACGAGGTTCACGAATAGCAGCCGTGTGTCCACGTCGAAAATCTGGTAAATGATAACGAATATTTGTGCCTTTGTATGGAGCAAGATACCCTCTTGTATTTGGATATCCGGCATCAACAACGTAATATTTATCTGTAAATAAAACAAACATTTATTATTCGTTTCAAACAAGTAGTAAAAACATAAAACTTGTGTTCAAAAAAAAATACTAACCACCCGTTGAATAAGGAAAATTAAGATCTGGTCTCTGTAAGGCTTCATTGAAAATTCTTGTATCATGTGCAGTCCCCTCCCAACCAGCCCAAACAAATGTAAAGCACATGTTAAAATCACAAACAGCCATTATATTTTGTGTTGCATATCCCTTTCGACCAATGTACTTCACTTCATCTTTTTGTGGAACCGAGGCCCCGACGTGTGTCCCATCTATAGCACCAATGCAATCCTTCAAATTCAAAAATATATCATAAATAAATTATTTGTTAAAGTTTTACTACCAAGAAAATAAACATTGGATAATACCTTGAACATTGGATAATACCGAGGCTTATTTAATATATATTCGGGAACATCATCATTATAGTTTGCGTCTGGCTTGATGATGTCGGCACTAAGTTTTAGCACGACTTTCAAAACTATATGGAAATGCCTGTGAATCGTTTCCCCCGAATGATTAAAAAATTCTTGCACAAATTTATCAAAGGAGGTACCGGGTTTATGGCCTTTTTTTTGTTCAATCAAGCACGAATCAACAAACACCATGAAGCTACGATTATCCCACCCAAATTTTGGTTTTTTCATTTTTAAAGATGTTTCACAATCAACAATTGTAGTGTGGTTTTCATCCATTATCTGTGAATTACATATAGTATCAACATTTAAGCAACAAACCAATTTCATTAACCTTCCTAAATGATTTCATTAATTTATCAAAATTCTAATCAAAACAAAAAAAAATAGAATATCACAGCATATCATCAAGTTCACAGAACTGTTAATTCATATTTCATCAAGTTCACAGATTGTTAATTCACAGCATATCATCAGCTTCATATTAATTTCACAGCATATCACAAAACTGTTGTTTTTCACAGCATATTAATTTCAGAAATCGGGAGGAACATCACTATTAGAGATGCTAGAAAATCAGAAATAGACAGGAATATCAATTCAATCTGGAAATATTTCATCAATTTCACAGCATATCAATTTCATAAAATCGGGCTTCATATTTTATCAATTTCAGAAAATCGGGAAATATTTCATCAATTTCAGAAATAGGGAAATATTTCATCAATTTCACAGCATATCATTGCTACTGAAAATCGGAAATAGACAGGAGGTTGGAAATCGACTGAAAAAAAAAACCTGATCGGAGATGGAGAAAGGCCGGTGTTGAAGGTCGCCGGTGTCTCCGGTGCTGCTGCAGGTCGCCGGTGTCGCCGGTGCTGCAGGTCGTCGGTGTCGTCGGTTGATGTTGCAGGTCTGGAGATGCGATGCGAGAGAGAAGAGGGTGAGCGGAGTGAACGAGAATGAGGGAATCGATAATATGTGAATGAACGGTAGATGGGGTATAATGGTAATTCAATATTTTTAGCTGGTGAAAAGTTGGGAAAAGTTAGGTAACCGTGACTTTTCAAAAAGACTCAAATTACTCTATATGAAAAGTCATTTTCACCTTACCAAACATCTTTTTGACTTTTTCCAAAAAATAAAGTCAAAAGTCATTTTAAAAGTTTAACCAAACACCCTCTGACTTCCTTTTTTTTCGAATGTTTCCTTTCTTCTTTTGCAGGGGTAGAAACGTCTAAAGGCCGAGAATTTCCAGTATCCACTTCCATCATCATAATATTGTTCACCATCGAACTTTGAAACCTAAGGAAATCGAAAAAAAGAAGTAACAATCGATATAATGGAATAAGAATTGAAGCTTCATAATCAAATTAAAAAATTAGGGTAAAAATACCACTGATTGGGTTTGATGACTTTGGAGTTTCGGAGGTTTTATTTTATAAAGTACAAACTTTCTCTCAGCCTCCCCAATCGACCGTTGTTCCTCCCACATCCATATTTGCTCTTCCCATATGGATCCCGTTTGTTAGCATAGGTATTACGAACGAGTTGAAGGGATTGATTTACTGTCGGAGACGAAAAATCAAGGGTTTATGGAGCAGGCGTGTATACTCCGGTGGGTATTCAGTGGATTCCATGTAAAAGAGATAGTAGAAGATGAACGAAGGTTGACAAAGCAGAGAGCAGTAGAGAGATACGGAAGAAGAGAGAGTTATTTGGATGGATGGATATTGAGTCGGTGGAGGTGGAGTCGGTGATTGATCTATTGCTTCTGTAACACGTGTATATTTTATTGCAAGGAATGGGTGGTGGGATCAGAAAACGTAGGTGGGAGCAGAACACGTAGCATAACACTCAACAACTCTTTACAATGGGCCTAACCAAAATAAACCCAGCAATGAAATAAAAAAAAAATAAAAAATAAAAAAATAATGGTGGTCCAATAGGGTTAAGTTACTGTGCATAAGGAACCTAAAATTAATATGATTATAAATTATTATAAAAAAATACCAAAGGGTTTGTAGCCCAACGGTATCAGGTAGTGCTCTTCCTTTTTAAGGTCGATGGTTCAAGTCCGGTCGTGGACATAGGTGGAATAGATGTTGTTAACTTAGGAGTAGATTAGATTTGCCAGTTCAAAAAAAAAATTATTATAAAATATATTAAATAAATATATTAAATAAAACATAAATATGATATATTGAAGCTACTATATATATATATATATATATATATATATATATATATATATATATATATATATATATATATAGTTGTCAAAGTCAAAGACTTGTGTGGAGAAATGTAGTTGTGTATATCTAAATAGTCATTATTTCAATATATCTTTTTATTATATGTAACATTTTGGTTTGTATTTAAATGTCGAAGTCTACGTATATGTTTTGTGGTCAGTTGAGGGCACCTGGCATGTTGCCTATAAATAGTGTTGTAGGATAGAGTTTCATTTAGACGATTCAACACATTTACGATTTTCACTTTCTTTCATGACTCTGTATTCTAACCTACTTCCTAATCAATCATTGAGAGGAAAAGAATTATTTACATGTCGTGTTCTTGTATTTTACAATGTCTTGATTCGTTTAATTGATTTCATAACTCATCAAGTGGTATCAGATTAGGAATCTTTCAACTCTTTCAGATAATTACTCTCGTTTTCATTTGTAGGTCTACAACCGCTCTTAGATCTAATTTCCGCACTTGAAACACGTTTCTTCGAATCTGTATGTGATTTATGATTTTGTCTTTTTTTTTCTAATCAGTTTGTACGAATCAAATTTCATTTCAATGGCAAATTTGGATACAAACACTATCATGAACTACACAAATCTTCTTGGATCATTGACAAAAACCCCAACTTTTTTTTCCTGAATATTATGATCAATGGACTAATAGAATTGTAGACTATCTCAAATTTTTCGATAAAGATTTTCGGAGGATAATCAACGAAGGTGATTATGATGAAAAATGAGTCACTATTGTTGGTGATGTGACAGCTTCCGAAGGTATGGGAGCTAGGAAAAGAAGAATGGAGGAAAATTATAGGAAATGTATGCGAGAGTTGCGAGGAGCTCTTCCCCCTTATTTATATGGTTAGTAGAGGTTGTAAATATGCAAAAGAAAATTAGGACAAATTAAAAGCTGAATTTCAAGGCACAGAAAGGAAAAAGAAAAGTTCCATCACTCAACTTCTATCCTAGCTTGCAGAATTCAAACAAAAAGATAATGAATCTATTGATCAAGCCTTTGATAGATTCAATGATCTAATGTACCAAATGGAAAAATACAAAGTGGAAAGAAGTGCATTAGAATTGAACATCATGTTTATTTAAGGACTGAGAAAAGAGTGGCAAAGTATCAATGTTCTTCTGAAATCTCATGAGAATTTTGATTCTTATTCCTTATTTGTGCTTTTCAACATGCTCAAAGCTCATGAAAATGATGTTAAGGAAATGAATGAATAAAAGGAAAAAGAAAGAGCAGCTTATATAGGTCCTTTTTCTTTGGTGTCGAAAGTAAAAGTTTTTAAAGAAGAAGATCCAGGTGTTGAAGAAGGTATTGATGGCAAGGGGTTGTTCACAAATTCAGATATTGAAACTGTGGTTTATTATTCAAACAATTCATCAAAGAAGTTCCATAAGAAACATGGATTTGGAAGTTTCAAAAATAAAAAATTTCTTCTGGTTAAAAAAATGTTTCTCAAAACAAGAATGTTGAAAGTGTAAATAAATCTTCTGCTAACAGTGAAAGTTATTATGAAAAGAAACTTCTTGGTGATTATAGATATGACTGTAATTACTACAATGCTGAAAAGCACTTGGAAAGGGAGTGTATGTTGAAAAGGATAAATGAGAAGAAAGAGAAGATCAAAGATGAAGCATACTATGTGAAGAAAATTAAAGAGATCAAGGAGCTCAAAAACAAAACCAAGAATTTTGCACTTGTGGCAACTGGTGATGATTATGAAGACGGTACTTATCAGATATGGTCATCTAGATCTGATGATGGGGAGATGAGAAACCTAACTGTAACGCCCCATTTCTGGTATGTGATTTAAATAAAGTAATTTTCTTTTCTTAAGGGGTACTCGACGAGTCAGTAGCCCGACTCGTCGAGTAGAGACGGGATTTGCACGCGATTTAAGTTGGCGACTCGACGAGTCCATATTCCCGGACTCGGCGAGTCTTTCAGTCTGAATGAAACCCTAATTTCAAGGGTTTGCACCCTATTTAAACATCTTATGTGCCCCAATACCAGCCTCCCTCACCCACAAAGAGTCCCATACGAAACCCTAGCCGTTCTTAAGAATTTTTGGAGCATTTTCTCACTTGTGAAGGTTTTAGTGCATCTTGGGGATTTGGGGAAGAAGAGAGAAGAAAAGTATTCAAGGGGAGCAAGTAGATCCGGACTTCTGGTTGCATTTCAGTCCCCTTTGAGGTATCAAGCTCGAATCTTTGCTTATTATCAATTAGATCTCTTGAGAAGTTTGCTCTTGTTGATTTTGAGCCCTTTCTAGACTTTAAGGTCGAATTAAGAGTTAATATGATGAATGGACTTCAGATCTAAGCTTTCCAGAGCCTCTTAAGCTCAAGGTTGCCACCTTTATTGAGCCAAGTTTCCATTCCAAGCTTAGATCTCTTCCTTTAGCTTATTTTGGGTATTTGAGCTTCATATTAGCATGCATGCACGTAAAGTTAGAAACTTTACGTGAAAAACCAGCCCTAGGAGCCCAGATCTATGAATGGAATGCACTGGATTCGAGCAGAATCGACTGTTTAGTAATGACATGCATGGGACTCGGCGAGTCGTTCTTCAGACTCGACGAGTCGAGTCGCGAGTCCCCGATTTTCCCCATTTGAGAGTTTAAGGTGGAATCAGTGAGTAGGTAATGGACTCGGTGAGTTAAGGCTCAGATCTAGTAGTGGAGGGACTCGACGAGTTGTTCATACAACTCGGCGAGTCAAGGACTGATCTCATTCATAGGATGAAGGAGGACTCGACGAGTTGTTCATACAACTCGGCGAGTCAAATGAAGATGAACTAGATGTTAGTATCGAAGAAGAACTCGTCGAGCCTTTGCCAAACTCGACGAGTAGAAGCGGGTAGAGAATTAGAAAGGATGATAGGGACTCGGCGAGTTGGCGGCCCAACTCGGCGAGTCCGGTTAACTGGAAGTTGACTTTGACCAAGATGTTGACTTTGACCAGGGGTAAAATAATCATTTTACCCTAAAAAGTAGTTATCCATATCTGATTTAGTGTTTATGGGATTTGTAGCCGGGGAGTTCCGGAGCAGCAGTCAGACAGTTTCAGATTTAGTAACTCAGCAGCAAGCATTACAAGGTGAGTTCTCCTTCAGTAGGAACGGCTCTACGGCACCAAGGCCGCCCGTAGTATGAGATGATAGTAGCTGAGTGTGGGCGGGGCCCGTATCCTATCTTAGCAAATTATGGGCGAGGCCCGTATCTCATAGTAGTAGTTGATTATGATGTATGAACATTAGATTAGCTTTACATGTTGTCTGTGTGATACTTGTATGATGGGTTAGCAGTTGAGTGTGGGCGAGGCCCGTATTTCATCATATCCGAGTGTGGGCGAGACCCATATCTCGAAGTAGCTGAGCATGGGCGAGGCCTGTACCTCAGAGATAGTGGAGTGTGGGCGAGGCCCGTATCTTCTAGATAGTGGAGTGTGGGCGAGGCCCGTATCTCCTAGATAGCGGAATGTGGGCGGGGCCCGTATCTCCCAGTTAGCAGAGTGTGGGCGGGGCCCGTATCTCCACGAGTGTGGGCGAGGCCCGTATCTCCTAGTTACATGCTATGTGTAGATGGTATGTGGTAGATTGGGGAGACTCACTAAGCTTCGTGCTTACGGTTTTCAGTTTTGGTTTCAGGTACTTCCACTGGCACTGGGAAGGGCTCGGGATGATCGCATGATGTTTTATGATACACGATTATGATTTTACTTATGATTTTGGATGGTTGATGGTTTTTAATAATGTTTTAAAAACGAAATTTTTGGGTTGTCATTTTTGGGATGTTTCAAGTTGGTATCAGAGCCTTGGTTTGAGGGATTCGGGCACGCTTTCGGGTGTGTCTGAACTCAAACTAAGGAAATAGTATAAGGTTTTCAAAAGAAAATCATTTTCGAAAAGAATTTTTGAAAAAGAAACTTAAAAAGAGAAAAGAGTTTTGAAAAAGAGAAAAGGGTGTGGTGCATGCAATCAGCCGAGCTCAAGTAAGTACTCCCAATTTACCCATACAAGTTTATGTTATGATTATCAGTTTTAGTAGAACAGCATGCTAGATTAGGGCTAAGGATCTAGGAGGATGCCTTATGTGCCTGCTATATGTGTTTCAGCTTTATGAGAACTGCATGCTAGTACAAATTAGTCAGGAGGATAGCCTACGTATTATATGCTTGATTATGTGCACTCGATGTCCGAATGCTGCTTGCTTTGTGCTTTTAGGAGTCC